GACTCAAACTATAAACCAATGTCTGGCCATGGGCAGGGAAGAGGGAGGGACAGGGAAGGACCCTGATATGTGTCCCTTTCCTCAGGGACAGATGATCAGACTCTGCCCTAGTGGTCAGTGAAGCCTAGGGGTGCTGCAGGGGCCTTGGGGGGGGGGAAAAGGTGTATTGCAGAGGCTGCAGTTGGAGGCAAATTTCATCTCTGCTGCAGCCTTGTCCTTGTTCCTTTGATGGCTGGATCCTGCCTCTGTCCCTGCTCTTAAATAAATCCTTCAGGAAGAAAAAAAAAGGGGGGAGGGGAGTGGAGAGGGAGGATGGGAGAGACGAAGAATGGAGAGGAAATGGGGGAGAGAGGAGAGGCAGGGAGAAAGAAAGGCTGAGAGATGCTGTGTTCCTGTATCTCCATGGCCCCAGGAAGAGGGATGTGGAACTGCTCCCCTGCTCTCTGTCAGGAGTCGCCATGGAGACTGAGTGCTGGCCTCTTCATGATTAATACTCGGAGGCAGCTGTCTTCTTGGAGTCTTTTTAAAAATACATACACTATTATTTAAACACAATGATATTTAGAGCAGAAAGATCAAGGTAGGGAGGGGGAGGGGCAGTAGCATTACCAGAACGATGACAGGGGCTGGGCCCTTCCTCACCTCCCTCCCTGGACCCAGAGCTTCCAGTCTCATCCACTGTGGCATCAGCATCTGAAGGGCCCTCGCAGCGCCTGGCATAGGGCTGTGCTCAATGAACACTTGATGAATGAATTTGTTCATTCATTAATTCATTCACTAATTGCCTGTTCAATGCTTATCTAGAAAGCAAACTCTCCTGCTCACTTCGGCAACACGTACTAGTATACTGAAAAATAAATAAAATGGAACGATACAGAGAAGATTAGCATGGCCCCGAGCAAGGATGATACGCAAATTCATGAAACGTTCCATTAAAAAAAAAAATGAAAGAAAGTAAACTCTCACCCTAGTCAGTTTGGCTCAGTGGATAGAGTGTTGGCCCTCAGATTGATGTGTCGTGGGTTCGATTCCGATCAAGGGCACGTACCTCGGCTGCAGGCTTGATCTTGCCCAATTGATGTATCTCTCACATTGATGTTTCTCTCTCTTCTCCTCCCTTCCACTCTCTCTAAAAATCAATGGGAAAATGTCCTTAGGTGAGAATTAACAACAAAAGTAAACTCTACTTCACCTTTTTCTATGGAAATTAGAAATTTCCTCTCATACCCTCCCCTCAAGGCCACACACACACCACCAACAACAAAGACAACACCAACAACTTTCACCCTGGCTTCCAGGGACCTTGTGTGCATTCTCAGCATGTGTCTGATATGACCACAGCATTGCTAGCCAAGGCAGTCATTCCAGGGAATTCTTGCAGGGATGGCACAACCAGATCAGGTTTCCACATCATACCATATTTGAAAAGCTAGAGGGGATCCTTCATCTAAAGCCATCCTAGAGTGAATCCTTTTGTAAAATGAATTCTTTCTCTAAGTTATCTTGTGAAGTAGACTAGCCTGGGCTTAACTCTCAGTCCTACCATTAATAGAAATGTGGCCCTGAGCATGTTATTTACTAGTAACTTTTCCAAGTCTATTTCTTCATCTGGGAAATGGGTCTCCAATTCCTTCCTCCATAGAGCTTTTGTGATGATGAAATATGTTAGTAAAGTGCTCAATGTATGTGATCTCCCTTTTTTTCATTCTGTGAATTTGTGTTTTATATTTGAAGTGTGAATTAATGTGGGGCTTATATGTCTATGCTCCTATCTCTTCCACCCGCTTCCAATGATCTTTATTCTGTCTGGGTCCAGAATCTCTTTATTAAGCCATTAAAATCAGGGGGGGACCGAACCGGTTTGGCTCAGTGGATAGAGCGTCAGCCTGCAGACTAAAAGGTCCCAGGTTCGATTCCGGTCAAGGGCATGTACCTTGGTTGTGGGCACAACCCCAGTAGGGAGTGTGCAGGAAGCAGCTGAATCGATGTTTCTCTCTCATCGATGTTTCTAACTCTCTATCCCTCTCCCTTCCTCTTTGTAAAAAATCATTAAAATATATATTTTTTTAAAAAATAAAATAAAATCAGGGGGGAAGGATGGAGAGGAGCTGTGCTGGGAAGGACTACAAAATGTCCATTCCCCCTTTATATTTCCTCCTCCTCCTCAAGGAACCAAATGCAGATGCAACTGCCCTTCACAGGTAACCATCCGTGTATCAGAGTGTGTGTTTGTGTGTCCACTGAGAGTGGCTAGCCCACACCCAGACCACAAGCTGTGTTCTTCATCTCCTCTCCTACTCACTTCTCCCTTCCCAGCTCTGCAGTTAGGCCTGACCTCTACCAAGATAAAATAGGGGAGTTGGACCCTTGTCTAAGGCAGGCCTAGCCCAAGGGCCTTTGGCAGAGAGCAGCAATGGCCTGGGATTTGCCAAAAGAGTAGGGAAATTATCCATGACTAAGAAGCAGGAGGAATGCTGTGGCAGAGGGAAGAACAACAGAAGGGACAGGGAACCTGGGGCTGGCCAATCTGGCCTGACGGGGAAACCTGGGGAGCCCTGGACGCCTGCCTAGCCAAATCTCTCTGCTCCCCCTCCCTCCTAAGCAGCAAAGTGCCAGAGTGGATTTGAGACATGTGTGCCCTGTGTGTCTGGTGTGGGCTTGCCTGGTCTTGGCAATGCATTTGGATTAGGATCAAACTCAGGTCTGAAGTAGAGTTTAAAATAAATAGTGCTCTGTGTGTCTAATCCTTACAGACATGTGCTGGGTTTCTGCATTTCCTACATACAAACACATGTGCTAATAACACAGAACTGATCTGTGGCATTCATTAGAACATGCTGCATGTACACGGCTGAGAAAACCTTTGTATGATTTCCAAACTCAAGAAGAAAATCAATGCTAGTGTGTTCACAGGTGTATTGCAGGTGATCATGTGATGACATATTCCAAGAACACATTTGTAGGGTCCTTGTGGGTTGGGGTAAGTGGCAGCAAGGAATGGAGATGGGTATCTGGGTCCTGGTAGAATGAAAACCAAAATCTACCTTCTGGCCCATAGTAGACACTTAAGGAATTAATACTGAATGAATGACCATTGAGAAACTGAATGAATGAATGTTTGGATAATGGACATAGGGTGAAAGGCCTGAGAATTTGGTGAGGTTTGGGTACTCTTGGAGAGTATCAGTCAGCAAGGGAGACTGGGATATACACTGCTGGTTATGCTGTAGCCCATCACCCTTGAATGACTTTGTTCTCATTCCTAGGAAAGTGGAGAGGGAGGAGGGAACCCCAGGCCTGCCCTCCCCACCTTCCAGCACCCAGAGCTCAAAGTAGTGGTGCTCTTGGTAAAGAAAATATGCTATCCCATGTACTCATTTGATCTGCTAAGTTGTCCCAGAAAGAAGTTAAGTAAGCTATAACACGAAATAAATTTTTAAACAATTATTTTAAAGATGAGAATATAAGACAGAGGGGAACCACAGCAGGATGAGATCAGGAGAGTAGGCAGGTGTCTTTGTGGGAATTGACTGATATGCAGCCAAGATTCACAGCCTCCTGAAGGTTAGGGAGGTTGTTTTGTGTCTTTTCCTGGTCTCTCTCTCTCTCTCTCTCTCTCTCTCTCTCTCTCGCTTTTCAGAAGGAGCCCAATTACTCCAGGTACTGATTCTAGGGAAATATATCCTGTCAATCCTCTGTGTGTTGCTGGGAACAACATCCCTAAAGTACGACATTTATATGGAGGCAGAAAAAAGTTCTACAGAATTATCTCATTACCCTGTAGGTGAAGGAAGAGTGAGCAGGAATTAATTGGCCTTACTTCTCTAGAGGACAATTCGCCAGATGTCCATCAAAATTTTACATACCATTTGACCAAAATTTACACTCATTGGAATTTATCCCACAGATCTATTCACGTGTATATAGTCAAGGATACTGACTGCAACAATGTTGGTAAAAGCAAAATGTTGGAAACTTCCTATATGATCATGGATAGCAGACAAATTGATCTCCTTTACAAAGGAGCATTATATAGCCTTAGAAGACTTTTAATAGAGACTTTTAATTTTTAATTAAAAACATATCCTTGGGTACTAACTGACCTTTTCTCTCACCATTAGCAAGTAGTATGGTCCTTTACAATTTAAATAAGTTATTTTTCCTAGAATAAACTAAAACAACTATTAAGGAAATTAAAAACACAGATGTGAGAAAATAACGAATAACTGGTTTACTGGGTACCCCAGTGCCTAGAACTTAATATGCTTTAACCCAACTACTCTTTAGAGCAAATATATGAAGTAGACACGTATAAGTAGGTGCATTCAACAGGTGAGGAAACCGACGCTCACGGAGATTAAGACACCGCTGGTAAGTGGCAAAGGGGGGATTCGAACCCAAAACCGTGGAACCCTAAACCCACGCGTCCTTTCCTCACCGTCCTTCGGCCTCTGCCTCCAGGCGGGAAGCGCACTTACTGGACGTCGGCCCCCACGCGGTGCAGC